AATCAGAATTTTCTGATTGTTATCATATTGCACATTGTATTGCACAAGTTTTAAACACCAAAATCCTGCGTTGATTTAAGTTCAGAATATTTCACATTTGGTGCAGGTATCTTTTAAAGCTTATTAGCTTATTGTTTAAAAGGAACTCAGATTTAAAATCATAGATAATTTGAATATTCTACACTTTAAAGTTTGGGTTGAAAAATAGAGTGCCCACATTTATACAATTCTGCCTGCAGGGGGAGTGAGAAACCCATTTTGCAGAATTACCAATTAGTCTCTTTCTGTGCTGAGTTCTTCTGGACCTTTGACTCCATGTATTCCCCTTTTGACAAAACCACAAGGTCAGAGTTCACGAGAAAAATGACACTTCAAATGCTTGGATGCATTTTAATTTGTTGATACATATTTATTTTCAGAGACCGACTGAGAGATAGAGAGAAGAACAAGAAATGTGTGTGTGTGTGTGTGTGTGTATTTGTGTTTACAGACTCTGGGTGGTGGGCGGTGGCTCTGCAGCTGCAACTACAAACCACCTGCTTCTGCCTGCTGAGTCTCTCACGAAATAAAAATGAGTTGGAGAGATTTTTTTAAACACATACCACCTCAACAGCTTACACCTCAGAAAACTTTTTCATCAAACATCCAAAAGATTTTTACTCTAGGCACAATATTCAGGCTTCATCAGCCAAGGACTTTTAACCTGTTCTCATCCTGGAACCTACTTGCACTCATAAAAGAGAGCTGTCCTTTTAAAAACCTATAAACAGTACAAGGTTTAATACCGCATGAGATGAAATCAAATTCTTTGTTTACATTTTTTAGTTTTCATTTCGCTTTTATTGAATTTCACAATACAGACAAATTACACGAATAGCAGCTAAGAAACGGCATGACATGTGACATTAGCCGACCTCAAACCATGGATTGTTGTAGTTACTTGATACTTGTATATAACACAAATTTTTTTTAGTACCATGAAGTCTTTAAAAAAGTCTCAGAGTGGAGCATGGATCCACTTCGACCATTTCAGAATGCAGTCGTGTAATTCAGTTCTTTTGATTGATTCTCTTTGCCTGCTCTTAAATGGCGATAAACAGACCCTAATCTGTTGTGTGAGGCCTTGTGATGACTAATGTTAGAACTCTTCATCATGGTTGATGATCTGGTGTAATTATAATCTTTGCATGCACACCTGTTGCAGACACCATAAACGGCTGTGATAGCTGAATAGGGCTTAGTAAGCAGCAGCGAGACTCAACTGTACTTTTAAATAGAGAAAACATTTCAAATATAGAAGAGCACTGAGGTCTTGCCATGAGCTATATTCAGAAAGTTTGTCATCACATCTAGTTGTATTGAGATATTCAGAGTCATGTTGCATTAGTTTGAAGAGACTGAATTACTTACATTTGATATCCAGTATATTTGGAAAAAGTCTTCAACGGAATAGTTTGACATTTTGGTAAATACGATTATTTGTCATCTTGCTAAGAGTCACATGGAAAGATTGATACCACTCTGATATTTGTATGCTAAATATGAAGCTAAAGCCAGCAGCCAGTTAGCCAGATTAGCTTTTTCCCACTGTTTCCAGCCTCTGTACTAAGCTGTAGCTTCATATTTGGCTGGCAGGTAATGATAGTTACCAAACAATTTCTAAGGCAGGATTTAATGGCATGTAGTGATAAGGTTGCAGATTGCAACCAACTGAATACCCCTGATCTCACCCTCCCCTTCCAAGCATGTAAAATGCTCTATGTAAAACCAGTGTTTAATTTTTCCGTTCTTGGCTACTGTAGAAAAGTGATGATAGAAACATGGTGGACTTCAAAGGTTAAACAACAATTCTTGTTTTCAGGTAGTTATCCATTAATGGAAATATGCATATGAATATTATATTCCCTTTCTGCTAATACATCACCTCAAATCCTACACTCTAGACTTTAAGTTTATTATTTTGTACCTATGAAATACTCTAAATTGATCAATTATGGTAGTAATTTGCCCTAATTTCACTTTATTTACTATGTTCACCCATCTTCAAATAGTCAAATTTTGTGATAAAACATCTAATTTACTATGTTTTCGCTATCATTTCTTGTCAGGTATGTTTGAGAGAGAAGGATGTAAAGTGTTGAAGGACATGGCTTGGTTGACTTCTCATGTGCTTCTGGCTGAAAACGTTCACCATTTGATCAAAGGATGGCAGGCTCTCCCTGCCAGTTCCCCGTCTGTTGTCTACATTATACCCTTTCTCCTTTCTGTCTCTCCGTCTCGTTTTATGTTCCCTTTGTTTTCTTTCATATTCACCCTCTCCATCCCTCTTCTCAATAACTCCCTCCCTCTGTTCTCTCCCTCTCGCTTTCTGATGGATCCCTCAGATCCTTCACTTCTAAAGATGTGTTTGTTCCCCTCTTTTGCCTTCAAAGATGTGGCCTACGTCAGGCAGGGGCCTGCAAACGCCCTGCTTTTGTGATTCACTGGGCAGTGAGGCTGATCAAACTGACAGAGATTTGGTGAGGCCACATCAGGCAACGTCGCTGGATGCATCAGATTATCCTAGGTCAGACAGGGTTCACACGCCCATCAAACATGGCTTGATCTCTGAAAAGGACTAATTTGGAAATATTTGTTTGGTATTTGTTCTTTGAGACTTTCTTTGTTGTTGCACGGGGGATTAGAACAGATAGGAAATGTGACCAGACAGATACAGTCAAAATGAATGTTAGGGTTTATGAGGTTTTGCTTTTCTATGGATGGCAATGTCACTCTCTCTGATGGTCAGTCCAGATTCCGGGCAGGTATTCATGGTCCCCTGATGATTGATCATACTGACTATGGTGATTCTGTGACTTTTTCTCTAGAGCTACCAACAGGTTAAACCTTGACATCTGAAG